TTACTCCCCGGAAAGGATAATAGCGCGTTCGTTCCCCACCATAGACACCTGCGGTCCAGAGTTTTGCAAATATCTCAGCAACGTTGTGGTTGTATTTCGCTAAACAAATATATTCCTTAGAAATATTTCCAACAAGCTTCCTCATCTCTCAAGTCAGAACAGAAGTTTCAGCCATTTACGACTACTTATTTGCAGCTTTATGCCCTCTATGAAAGTCATCAACGATACCCGTCTTGTCGACGCATGGTGACACTCTGAACGCACAGACGCTTGACTTCTGTCACGAGAACAACTGGTTTGTAAGAGAGACGAGCAACAAATCTCACAAAACAATGATCACGAAGAACGGATTGGTTTCGTATGCTCCATTCACGCTCAACAGAACGAATATCTCCGAATGCTCCAGTTATATCTATCTAGGTCGGGAAATCAATATGATGAACGACCTAGCTCCAGAGCTGAGCAGAAGGAAACGAGCGACTTGGGGAGTTCTCATGATCACCGGGGATGTAGTGAAGAGAACAAAGAACACCCGACTCCGTGCCCACCCTTCCGACTCAACGGTACTTCCTGCCCTAACTTATGCGTCAGAAACCCTGGTCGCTGCGTAAGCAAGATAAAAGATCACTCAGCGTTGTTGAACGTGCAGTCGATAGGACGATGCTCGGAGTCTCCCTTATCACGCAAATGAGGGAAACGGGTCAGAAGCACCGACCTATGTCAATGATCAAAAACCAAAGACTCCGTTCTAAACACGAAACTTTCGAAGATACGGTGTGCCGAACACGTTATGCGCATGAACGACAACCGCTGAACAGGAGCGGTTAGTGACAGGATTCATTCCTCTGGATGTAAAACGTACTGCAAGAAGACCACTAAAGCGATAGTCAGAGTTCTTCATGAAAAACCTAGAAGAAAGGTATGATGCTCATCGAGTCCCTAGAGCGAGCAGAACCCATTGGGCTACTCCTGCACGCTGCAGAAAGAAATGGATTTACTGACGCCCGCTGAAGTCAGTCGACGATCAACGGGCCGACACCATGATAAATGTGATATGTTATACTGTATATTGTTACTAACCATCGTTGCGGATTGATTTCATCCATAAGAAAATAGCTTTTAATCATGTTAGTGGAGAAATAACTGAGCACCAACAACTCGAAAGACCGACTTTCTGTAAACCTCGGCATAGATAGTTGATATATTTATTCATGTGATCTTATAAACTGATTTTCTTAAGCTGACGCGAGGTTGGTACAGATCTTCGTTGTCGTTGTCGTTGTTTTTGATGTTATTGATCGATGGCTGACGTTTCGGCGACTTCGCTTTCATCAGAGCCTGGACGTATTTTATGTTAGAATACTTTTTATTACTCGGTGGAAAAGAGGGTTAAAGTATTAATGAAGATCAAACTTTCAAATAGACGCCATATTGAACAGCAAGGCCACTCACCGTGATGTTACGTGCGGGACTGGCCCACACGTAGCTCACGCGAGCAAGACACGCCCCGGGTCAAAATATCATTTTGAAATAGGGCGCCAGGTCACGTGTGATAGTGAGGCATTCGTCCTGTCGATACATAGACGACTGCTTCGTCGTCTGTTCCACACAAGAACAGATGGATGAATGCTTTGAATTATTAAACCGACAGTCAGGGTATATAAAAATTACACGAGAAAAACCTACCGAGAACTGGCTTCCATTCTTAAACATACAAATTGAGCTCTCAGTAAGTGGCTATGTAACAAAATGGTATCGCAAGCCAAGTAGTAAAAACACTACCTCTACCTACCTCCTAGTAGAGTACCTCTCCCTAGTTCACTGCCTCTCCTCTCATCCCTCACACATGAAAAAAGCACTTATCAAAACCATGTGACGTACGGCTAAAAATGTGTGTACAGGAGAAGAGGAAAGGAAGGAATCGCGAAGCCTCGCACGAAAAATTGCCATTTCCAATGGTTACGAAGTTGAAGCCACTCGGGTTAGAGGAAAACGTAGCGTAGTTCCCCAAAATAATATTTCAGACGAAAGTAGGGTCCCCTTTAAGCTACCCTTCATATCAAATGAAGTAAGTCACGCCATTAAGAGGTGCTTAAGGAAAAGCGGTCATGAAAATTATGTAGCGATTATTGACATCCCACCCAATACCGTCAGTTAGTTCGCAACCGTCTCTATGATCGTTTGTGCAGCTCAGAAAACTGTATGATCTGTCCCAACGGGAGAGACGGGGATTGCATGAGTTTAGGTATACTTGATCTCATGCAATGCATGCGGCGAGGAAACGGGAGAGACGGGGATTGCATGAGTTTAGGTATAATATACTTGATCTCATGTAATGCATGCGGCGAGGGATATATCGGAGAAAACGGGTAGACCACTTTGTGTCCGCATAAAAGAACATCTAGATGGAAAAGCTAAAATCCGTTTAAACACCCCTCTAGGTACGCATAGGACACAAAAGCACAACGGCGATAATTTTGAAGTGACTGTGCGGGTCCTAGCGCAGGAATCAAAAACATCAACGCGCAAAACTCTTGAGGCGTTTTGGATAAATTTCAAAAATCCAAAGATGAACCGAAGGACGAATGCCTCGCTATCACGCGTGACCTGGCGCCTATTTCAATATTATATTTTGACCCCGGGGCGTGTCTTGCTCGCGAGCCCACGTGAACTACGTGTGGGCCAGTCCCGCACGCACGTAACGTCGCGGTGAGTGGCCTTTCTGTTCAATAAGGCGTCTATTTCAAAGTTTGATCTTCATTAACACTTTAACCTTTCTTTTCCACCGAACTATAAAAATATTCTAATATTAAATACGTCCAGGCTCTGAGGAAGGCGAAATCTCCGAAACGTCAGCCATCGATCAATAACATCAAAGAGCACCAATAAATCTTCACCGAAAATGGCAATGAAGAAACAAAATATAGCGTGAAACTTCCTGTGCTTTCAAAGATGCCAAATTAGATGAACATGGTCATGGTAATAATGATAGTTAATTCGAAGTGTGTGGGCAATCTTCCCACCGGTATACATGGCCGATGCATTTCTATGAACTGTTTGTGAAGTGATATTTGAGATCTGGTTTTTGTTGTAACATGAACAGATACTGACTGCATGAACACTTGTTCTGTACAACGACAAATGTTGAGGATATGAAATGATTCATCGGTTTCTGCCACAAGAATCAGCTACGGACAGGAAAGGACTTTCCAAGCAGATCATCCCATCGAATCTGAAGAGAAAACTGAACAGCAGTATAGAGCTGAAGTAATATAACGATGTTGCTGTAGGAAGGCAACAGAGACACGCCCTAGCTCGGGATTGCAAGTAGAATCGACTTGACTAGAATTCTAATTCATAAAAAAGAAAAAATCCTGAAGGATCAGCAGAAACAACGCGCGAAACATTCGGCGATCACTGTGGCGAAGAAAAATGAATAGGACGCAAGAAGTGCCAGCATTTTCTGCACAGTGGAGGTGATGATGCGCCATGTAAAATAAGAAAATAGTGCTAGTTGTACAATGTGTGTAATATTAATTCTACAGCTTATGTATTTTTGCTTACTGGCCATGCCAGAGTCATTCGCTCTGGATGAACATTCCATTGAGTAGAAAAAAAAGTCTAGCAAAAATAAGTATGCGTGACATATTAACTCGCCAACATGGAAATGCATTGAGATTTATGCAATTCGTCCGTTTTACCGTCACGGGCACGCATTGAAGTCAGTAACATGCGTAACAATCTAATATTCACAAACACTGGTAACTGGCAGATTCCCAAATATAATATCAAGGAAATAACCCCTTCTACTGAGTGGGCGGGTAGCATAGTGGTAGTGATGCCGGTCACCACGAGAAACGCCTGGTTCAATCCCGCTGCGGGCTCACCCAGCCCCTCATCACTCCAGAGTATCGGATTTGTATAGAGAAAATCTACTCTCTGCAGTTCAAGTGGAAACGCTCTACCCCGGCTATTTCAGGACTCCAGGGACAATCAATTTGACGAGCAATCAACGACATTCATGATGAAAAGAAAATGCTCAAGCAGGATCCGAAACAACGCGTAAAACTTAGAAGACTTCCTAGATGATGGATGCGAGGAGGTGAGCCGTAGGCGTGAAGTGCTGGTATCTACACGGCAGATGTGAGGGATGGATCGTATAAAATCCGCAACACACCAAAATATTTTGGGCTGCGACGGCCCATGTTGAGTAAACGATGTCAACCTACCGTCGAAAAAGGAATCTCATATAGTTCCATTCTATTGCATATCAACTTCTGGGAAGGCATAAATGGCTACAACAAACGCATGCTCTCCTGGGTTCGCGACAACATTCCGTACACAACAAGACACTAATGGATTGCTTCTAAGTCACCGCAAACGACATCCTTCGCTCTAGACAGGACTTTGCCTTCGTATCCATTTTCTAATTATGCTACAACACCAGAAACATCGAAAAACAAGGATTTGGTTACTCACATTAGCTTTTTTTCTTCACTCGGAATAATCTCCAGTACTAGTGATATGAATGTTTCCTCGTGAACAACCAATGAGAAAGAAACTTTTATTTGGCAACCATTAAAGGTTCTAAAGAACTGATACAGAAAAACAAACATTCAACATGAAAACTTCAAGCACTCTTGTAGTAGGATAGTAGAAGCACTTCCATAATCCTCCTATATCATTGCCATATATATATATATATATATATATATATATATATATATATATATATATATATGTAAAGGGAAACAGAAACTATGTATATACGCATTTCTAATCATTCAGGAATAGTTTGCTCCTCGTCCTCCACAACAACCTAAAAATCTCGGTGCCAAGAAAAAGAGGTTTCACAAAACAGTTATCTCAGTACATAGTTTAGAAACAAAAGAAAAAAGAGAATACCTGAATAATACCGGAGTGAATAGCGAAAACTAATGAAAGTGTGATAGCACCCAGACCAAAGAGAATTGCATCACGAAGCGGTAAATCTTCCTGGACTTGACTGGCTTCCGCGGTTGCAACCTTAAACGAAATACAAGAGAAAGCAAGAAAATTTGCACACATAAGATAATTAAGGAAAAAAACCTTCTCAGCTTCCTTCGCTTTTTCAGCCTTCTGCAACCTCATCTCCCACATTTTACGATCAGCTTTTTGCAGCCTTAACTGCTCCTCTGTAGGTGGAAGGTATATCGAAGCTACTTGTTCGACAAAACGAACCTAAAAAAGAAGAAGATTCGATAAAAATTGCTAGTATTACTTCAACACACTAGGTTTGGGCAAGCTCTCAAATGAAGTTGTAGCCTGTCGTTCGGTAGAGGAAGACGAAGAAGAGGCGCAAGGTATCCGAAAACCAAGGCGTCCAAAGAGCTCGGTCTGAACTAATTACGTTGAACAACATGATGCATATATTTGTGAGAAAAGGCTAACTTATTCCCGCAAAAGAACTTATTGTCTCCAAGTTTTGCTGACAGCATGTTCAGAGTCTGGAAGTATCATGTATTAAACAGATAGATCGAGGCAAAATCTCGAGTGAGATTACTTGCAATCCATCTTTCATTATTGAATTCACAGTCCTATCCGAAAGAAAACGCTGTATGCGTTTCCTACGTTTTTCCAGATAGTACAGATTGTACGGGAATGAAAGACGAGACGAAAACCAGTGGTGTGTCAGAGTGCTGTAGTTCAAGTCGTCCGCCCAAAAGGTATGCAGCTGAAACAGATGAACACTCGACCTCAATTCAACTCCTCTGTAAATGAACAAACGTTACCACAGCTGGATGTAGATACTGCTGAAGAAAACAACTGAATGCGTCGATTTGTGACCGCTCAGAAGAGGTCAGCTCCGCATCGATAACAACTTCCTGGCCACTGTTTCTCAACATCTCCACGAATCTGAATCCAAACTATAAGCAAAGAGCATATTATATAGCTTAAAGATTGGACAACAGTTTTGCCTGACTCACTTGTCGAAGTCGGTGACTACTTTTCCCTGACGCTTCTTATCGAAAACAGCTGGGTATTCCCCTAGAAACTTCTTACTTACTACATAGCAATTCACAACGGTGCCAATCATGAAAGAACGTAGATGTAGGCGACCAGAGAGACATATCTTGAGTGTTACTCAGAACACTCTTAATGCAGTGCCCAAGATTAACTGGTCCTCAGTGCAAGTGATGAATAGACCAAAACAATAAGTGGGCTCTGTGCACACAATGTGTCACACATGTATCTGGACTCATTACTCATAAACTCATTACTTAGTTAGCTGGCTGCTTGGAGTGCCCGTCCTCATTAGTTGTGCGGGCCCCAGCATACTCTCTGTTTTTCCGAGTTTGCTGTTTTAGCCACTGTGATTCCCTGCAGTCCCGAGGTCAACACGGACAAAGTCTGCGCCAGGTCGCCACTACCACAAGCAGTCGGCGCCCATTTGACCTGAGGGAGATTTGGAACCATGCGACTAGTTTGATACCAGCACGGTGGTGGTTCCTGGTATTGATTTACTCTTAGCTGGGTTTCCTGATGGAAACGCCGGACGGAGATGAATCACTCGGCTGCACATCGCAGCCCGACATCCAGAAACACCTCCTAGCCACGATGAGGCGGTAAACCGTTGGAAGGTCTGCTGCCCCTACGGTAATAAATGTATGACAAATGATGTGAGGCCTACCGGTGGGTGAGTGCCACGGACTCACTGAATAGGCCACAGATACAGGACTGGCACACATCTTTGCACATGCCTAAAAACAAGAAAGAAGAAAAAATCACAATAACTGGTTAGTGCGATGTTGCTTGGAACAAAAAGAACTCATCAAAAACTGTAGACAGCCGACATCGATGGACGGCAGTCCGAAATCCGCTGGCCAAACGTGTAACTCCATAGATGCCTTCTGAAAACTACTAGGTAGCCATAAGTTGTGAAAAAAGTGACAAAAAATACCTAATTAAGTAGACTGTGGAAGGAAAATTGAGAAGAATATACTTCGTGTTCCTGCCTTTCAAGGTTGAGCAAAAATTTAAAGAATTAAAATAAGAAACCTGGTGGATTAAAAAAGAGATAAAAGAAAAAAACTGTTGACAAATGGTTAACAGAGTTCAGTGACATTCACAGCATGAAATGTTCCACTCCAAAAAAAAAAATTGGATCGGAAATGAGTACCATAGAGGACACACGGAAATTCGAGTGTCCTCCCGTGCTCCAGTCAGAAAAATTGCTCAACGGCCACATCCCACATTATTCGCATTCCGGCAGCATCCTCGTCTTCCTGTTTCGGACGGAATGAAGCTAGGGCAGGCATTTTCTAACAGCTTTTTTAGATTTCTAAGCACAGAAGTGCTAATATCATATTAATGTAGTAGCATACAACCGCTTTCGACAATTCCAACTTGTTTAACTAGTTTTGTTTGAGTGGACTATATTTTCGTGCTCGGCTCTGTGGAAACTTTCACTTTGTCATATCATGAAGTGCTTCGACTTTTCCAGTTACTACAGAAATAGTCAGTACCTCGCTTATCGTCTTACTTCGTAACGTCAATCACATCGATTCTGTGAAGTCGTCAATTTAAAAATGGATTAGTTTTCCAGGATGGCTGAAACGAAAGCATCAGAGGCGAGTCATAGGTCGCCACCGATGTGCGAGGTAAGGAATGTCAAGATGTATTGTGATGCTTTTTCTCCATTTCTGGAGGTTGTAGATTTTTATCCAGTACAAGTAGAGAACAACACTAGCAGTCTATTCATTCTTGAATGTACGTTTTTAAATATTTACTGCGACAAGAACAATGGACGGGTAGTATAGTGGAAGTGATGCCGATAATCTCGAGCACAGTGCTGGTTCGATCTCGCTCTTGAGTCGTCAGGGCTGTCATTGCTCCGAGGTTGGGAAATTGGTGCTGGGCTTGTCCGGAAAACTATCTCAGAACTCTTGGAAGAATCGACTCGACCGGAATTCTACCACATTCAGCATAATGAAAATCCTCAAGCAGCAGCAGAAGCTATACATGAGGGGTAGAAGACCTTTGTGCATGATGGACGCGAGGAAACGGATCGAATGTGAGGATCGAATGTGAGGAGTGCGGGATCCGCACAGTAGATGGGAAAGACGGGTCGTATAGGAAGTAAAAAAAAGTTAAAAAACACGGAAAGGATGGTTGTTGAATAGTCTTTGTAAGTTTACATTGCACTCTGTTTCAATATTTAAATCCTCGTATTAGTTCAGCAGTGAGCCGTTCATGAGAATTCTGCATTTGATTCAGAACTACATGACAGTAGGACTTGGTAGTAATTTAAAATTTCTTTATTGTTGGTGCATTATCAACACCTGCGATGTACTTATAAAGTGCAAAGAGGTAAAGCCTTCAATGTTGCTAAATTCCTTGGTGTCGGTTTCATGGGTCGTCGACTACATTAAGCACCGTAGAGGTATTTGGATGCATATTTGGCTCGTAACATTCAACGGCCTACCGAATGGTCAATTCTTATATCCTCCTAAAGAAGTCTGACACCAAATCGACGACACTGGAAGGTGTGGAAAGCTTTGTTTGTCGAGGTACACGGTCGAACCGAAGGCGATGTATGTGTTGCAAGACACCTCAGGGCACCAAGTACGGGCTCAATTTTACTATGCCATGTTACTCTTTTCATCGGAAGTTCCACTTGAAGAAACATTCACTTTTGACCTTGCTGTTTCGTTTTCTTCTACGACTGCCTCTTCAGGAATTCCAACATTTATTCTTTTGTTCATGTTGTTCGACTTGCAGTTTTCAGTAATCAAGCAATTTATTGACTATTTACGCCAAGGTTACTAAGGTTAAACAAAAATCGGTTTAGCTCATTGTGTATTCTTTTCTGTACATTTTCTGGAAGCTATGCTATTACGTTCCAAGGTGTTTAATACCAGAAGAGATCACAAATCAATCCTCCTTTGCGGAGTTTGCTACTTTGGAACTAGAATTCATCTAGGAAATCAAGGTTCGTGCAATTACGACCGAGCGGTCTGGGACGATGATACGGACCGAATTCTCTTTTTGTCGTGAAATTTGTAAATGGTGATTGGGTATTTAAAATTTTGTGATGATTTATTCACCAAGATCCATAAGAGTGTGTCTATATTCGTTCTGCGTTGATGACTGCTTCAATTGTGGTTTTACCGTATGCATTCATACTCCTATGATTTTAACGTTATCTTGTGATTTTGTCCACTGTTTCAGCATCGTCCTACGTCCACAATCCCAGTTTTCGTGAGCGCACGTCAATCCATATATGGTCCGTGTCCTGTTGAAATGGATTGTCCACACTGCCAGGTAGGTAGCATGACTACCATCTATGCACAGCTTCTGCACCAACATGACATGATGCCTTCCAAAAGGAAGAAGTCTACACCATCGCTAGATCTCGTATACTCTTTCGCTAATTGTTCTCGTGCATACATCTGTTTGTTAAGTTCTTTTCACATTTTCTCCGTGTGCCTCGTCTTTCATCAATTTGAAACGCCTTTGACGAACGTTAGCACGGCATAAAGCTGCCTTATAGCTCCATTGAAGTAGTAAAATAAACGCAACGCAGGTGTATAGCTCTTTAACACCACTTATAATCTTCAAGAAAATGTCCATCCTGATGACATGGTTTTACGAAAGATTGCCAGTTCGACTCTGCAGTTAGTAAAAGAATTATGACTTATGCTCTCCATTTCGTGAGAAATTACTTTTCTGGTGAAGAACGGATATAGATGGGTGGTTTATCAGTCGTATAAGTCATTCTTGGTATTTTAATGCTCACCTAAGCAAATAAAGTTTTACGGCTTGAAGGAAAACTTCATCGAAAATAGGAAGATGTACGAGCACTTCGGGTCTCGGAATAAACCTATGGATCGGCCTATAGAAACAAATCTCTACGAAAGGCTTGCACTTCAACCACAGTTAATCTAAACAAGTCTATTGTTCGAAATTGGTTTCACTAGGATGTATACATTTTTGCCCACAGGATATATGAATGTGTCGTTTTCTTGTTCAGCAATCGCGAGGTTTTTAAACAGCATACATTTACTTCTATAAAAACACAATACAATACAACGCTAGCTGACGTTTCGGCAGTATCGCCTTCTTCAGAGCCTGGAAGGGTATACTGATATACAATCTACTAGGCCAAACGCTTCAATAACACTTACACAAAGACGAAAGACTCTTTGGTAATTACACGATCAACAACTTCTCGAAAAACCCACCGCTTTTTCGTGACTTCCAATGAGGAAGTTTAGAACAGCTGATTATAGTCGCATGTGGTTGACGACTGCACCATCGCACATCAAAAATCGATGCGAACGTACGGGATCAGGTCGCGTATGGCCTCCGGGCATTCGTCCCTGCTATTCATTGTAGTGTTTTTGGCATTGGTCCAAAAAGCCTCTAGGAGTTTTCGCGCTGGTGTTTTGGACTCCTGTGCAAGGATATTGACTTTTACTTCAAAATCGTCTCCGCTATGCTTTTGTATCCTATGCGTGCCTAGTGGGTTACTTTCTCTCAGTTCTCGTTTGCCATCTAGGTGTTCTCTTATACGGATACACAAAGGTCTGACCGTTTCGCCAATATATTCATCTCCGCAATTGTTACACGAGATCAGGTATATCGCACCTGAACTCATGCAATCACCGTCCCTGCCGTAAGGGCAAATTACGCAATTTGTTGTTTCACACAGACGGTCATACATGCGGTTGCGAACTAATTGGCGACGTAGAGTAGTCGGTGGTATTTCAACTATCGCTACCGATTCCTCTAGACCTGCCCTTCTTAAGCATCATTTTATAGCTGCGCTTACTTCATCGCTTATAAAAGGCAACATAAACGGGATTTTGTTTTGGCCAAGTGTTTCGCGTGGGCGCGTCGTTCTCCTTGTAAACTTATCTCGTGGGGTTACTATTTCGTANATTCAAAATCGTCTCCGCTATGCTTTTGTATCCTATGCGTGCCTAGTGGGTTACTTTCTCTCAGTTCTCGTTTGCCATCTAGGTGTTCTCTTATACGGATACACAAAGGTCTGACCGTTTCGCCAATATATTCATCTCCGCAATTATTACACGAATCAGGTATATCGCACCTGAACTCATGCAATCACCGTCCCTGCCGTAAGGGCAAATTACGCAATTTGTTGTTTCACACAGACGGTCATACATGCGGTTGCGAACTAATTGGCGACGTAGAGTAGTCGGTGGTATTTCAACTATCGCTACCGATTCCTCTAGACCTGCCCTTCTTAAGCATCATTTTATAGCTGCGCTTACTTCATCGCTTATAAAAGGCAACATAAACGGGATTTTGTTTTGGCCAAGTGTTTCGCGTGGGCGCGTCGTTCTCCTTGTAAACTTATCTCGTGGGGTTACTATTTCGTAAATGTGGCAAGCGGGAAATTAGAGAATTAATAAACTCGGAAACAATAAGATTGTCTGTTAGTGATAAGGGGGGAGAGTTCGTAGTTATCCCTCGCCAGCTGGCTGTTGAGATAACAGAGGAACATCTTAGTGATGTTCAACAAGAAGTTCGAAGATGGCTTGCATTGCGGAGTCATTCGATACGTTGGTGTACAGTGCGGTAACGTCGAAAAACTCCATCACGTACGTGTTATTGGGAGACGCGTTACGTAGATGTTCCAGGAACATTTGGGTGTTT